AGGGCCGGCCCAAGGCCTGGGTTCACAAGAAGCCTGATGTTGGTTACCTTTGGAGGGAGACACCTGTCTGCAGTGGCCTTTGTCTAAAGTGGGGAGACCAACTCAAATGCACACAGGTCCAGGCAGGAGAATTAAACGGGTGATGTGGCTGGATTTAGGGGAACAGGGGAGGGTGGGGACTGGACCTCACTGGAGACACGGTTTCCAAAGTGAAACATTAAGACATTTTAAATACTGAGCAGGAGTTGGGCTGGGAGACTATTTGTAACCCTTCAAAGCCACCTGATCTTTTCCGAGCACCTACTCTGTGCCAGGTGCTGGGAGGGATGCTGGCTAACAGCAGTGGACATAAGGCAGACCAGGCCTCTGTCCTCAAGGAGCTGACATTCTGGTGGGGAAGACAGATAATGAATAAATGAAGATGAATTTCAGATTTTCTTATGAGCTTTGAGAGAAAATTATCAAGTCACAGGAGAGAGTAAATTGGGGGAGGCCTCTAGGAGGAGGTGATGTTTGAGCTGACAACGAAAGGGGGGTGAGAAGTCAGTTGTGGGTGAAATGCTTTCTAAGCAAAGGAAAAAGCAGTGCAAAGGCCCTGTGGTGGGAGTGAGCTTGGTCTGCTTGAAGGACAGTATAGAGATCAGTATGGCAGGAGGAAGGAGTGGAGTGGCAGCCTGGCATAGGTGAGGCTGGACCGCCTTCCCCCAGCTCACGCCTGCCAGGTAGCGGTGTTTAGGGGAAATGGGAATCAGATACAGACATTCCCACTTCTGTTCTTTGTTCTTTTGTCTTCGATGAGGACAAAAGCTTCCCTGGCAGCAAGTTACAAAGTTATTTCTGCAAAAGGCCTTTGGCCAAAAGCAATAAAGTCGGACCTGAACAGAGTCATTATTCACGCCTAACTGTGGGCTGGTTCCCAGTGCAGACTGCCTGTGCCAGGACTGACAATTCCAGTCACACCCCCTCCCCCTTTTAACCCCACACTCTCTCAGTTCTGTTTCTCCCCACAGAACACGTATTTGTGTTTCCAGAGATTGTAGCTTCCTTCGAGAAGAACATAAAAGGGATAAAAGGCTATTTTGACTGGCCGGTATGAATAATCCAATTATTTCTTCCTTTCCACCCAATCCACAGCCGTGTGCTCCATCCTCGCCCATCATGCCCCTGCTATTAGCAGATAGCTTCTCATTAGCTCACCTTGGAAACGGTCCGACGCTTACAATTATTTGAGATGCTTGTACTCATAGGCAGGGAGGGAGTCTGAAGCTACTTTGACCAAATAACCCGCTAAATTTAGAGATGCGAGTCGAGGGAATTTGGAATGACAGGTCCATTTCCAACCCTGGCAGGCTGTGCAATCTAATTAGCAGCTGGAAATAGACCGTCAAGTGGGAGCACAGCCGTGGGTCAGAGGTGCTCTTCGAGCTCAGATCAGTGTCTGCAACTGGTGGTCTTACCGCTGCTGGGGGCCTCACTGGGTGTCTCCAGGTGTACTGTGTACACAGGTGTACAGTGACTGCAAGAGAGGGCGTGTGAACTGGGTTGCCAGTGTCCATGGTGGGGTGCGGTCTGGGGGAGGTGGGAGCACACCCATCATGCCAGCTTCTCCCCCATTACCATGTTTGCTCTCTCTTCCAGATGTCAACTCCAACCATCCCCATCCTTGGGGTGGGGATGCTGAGGTGTGGCAGGGATTCTGGGAGCTGGCTTTGCCCCATACGGTGAATAGGGTTCCCAGACCCCCAGCAGTGCCTGAACTATGGGGCCTTTGTCCTTGAAGAGCTGCCATACAGTTTTGGGCATTCTACTTACACTAGACTTAAAAAAATTTCACTCATTCATTCAGCCCATCTGAATGAAAAGCACCTCTAACCCATCCATCTGCCATTCATTCATTCATTCATTCATTATTTAAAAATGTTCAGGGCTCATCCCGTGGCAGAGCCGCTTATTCGGGGGGTATGCAGAGCTTTCTAACTGTTTGTCCAGCATCTGGCCCCCTTCTTTTGACAACAGCATCCCAATTTCCTTTTGAGGACGCGCTCCCCTTGCCAGGAGGCCCTACCTTCTCTTGCCATGTAACCAAGGGGCGATCATGTGACCAAAGTTGGCAAATCAGACTCTCACTGGGGCCCTGACTCTCACATGGAATGTCAAGGGCAGAAGGAAAAAGCAGGGGTGTGTCTGTCCCATTGGAACCTTGGGGGCTGCCAGCAACTCCTGCTCTGAGCTCCCTAGAACTTCCCAAGCTAAAGCCTTAGGAAGGCCTGGCAGCTTTCCCCTTCTGCAGGCTTAGCAGTCAGGCTGCCCTGAGAGCCCCACACTGTGAGGAAGCACACGCAGCCGTGAGAAAAGGCCACGTGGAGGAGACTAGAGCCATTTAGCCGATGGCCCCACGGAGCTCCTGTCGTGTGACCGGCACCAGTGGCCAGGCATCTGAGTGGAGCCATTTCGGATCTTGCAGCTGATATCACATGAAGCAGAAGAACCCCCTGGCCATCGACAGAATCATTAGAGATAAAGTGTTGCTGCTTTAAACAATGGAGTTGGGGGTGATCTGCTGCACAGCAGACACACACACCCAAAGAACCCCGAATGACACTAACTACAACCCACGCCTCCACCTGGACTGCCACCGAGGACCTATGAGGAGTCAACATGTTTGGTCTCCTGGGGCTAGTGGCTTTCATCAGATGAACACTTAGAAGAGCACATCATTCATTCATTCTTTCGAGTCATTGATTCAAATCATCACCAAGCCAAGCACAGATGGTCCAGCGATAAACAAGCTCAAGGAGCTCCTGTTCTAGCAGGGCTATTCCGCACAGTCCTCAGTCTCCTCCATTATGAAAGTAAGGGCCGTGGTGATGATGAAATGCTTGGCAACAAATAAAGTCAATGATATTAGACTCCATTGTTATCGTAAAAAGAGTTGCAATGCATTGTCCCTAGAAGTGTGGCCGTTTGGTATGAACGCAGTATTGGAGATAGAGTATTTGGGAGGTGATTAAGCCATGAGGGTGGAGCCCTCAGGAATGGGATTAGTGCCCTTATAAAAGAACTCCAGAGAGCTCCCTCACCTCTCTGCCATTTGAGGACATATCTAGTGAGAAGGTAGCATCAGTGAACCAGAAATTGGGCTCCCCCCAGACACTGGATCTGCTGCCACCTTCGTCTTGGACTTCCCTGCCCCTAGGGGTGTGAGAAATAAGTGTCTGTTGTTGATAAGCCACCCTGTGTCTGGTATTCCATTACGGTAGCCTGAATGGACTAAGTTATTACACCGTCACCTGAGCCGGCACTCAGAATGCTGCCGGGCACGTAGAAAGTGCTCAGTAAATGTTAGGAGTCTGGATTGGGGAGAGGAGATGAGAGAGGCTGGTCTCCTGCACCCTGGTAGTGCCTTTCAGGAGTGGCCTACTGAAGGCGGGAGAGTTGTATTTCTGAGGGTACATTCAGAAATCTTTGCCCTGAAAGCTCTCATTAGAATGTCACCACACTGATCTCACAGATTAGCTCTCACATCCCAAGTGGCCTGAGACTGGTCAGAACTGGAGCGTCTACCAGCCTTCTGCAGGGCACAATGTTCCTGCTGTGGCCGGAGGGGGATGACGTTAGCACAAAACCCGGTTCCAGCACTGGGCTGGGTGCCGGGAGGGTACATGACTTCCTGGGAATGACAAACAGGTTTTGACTCCTTTGCCCTGAGCAGTCACCTTTGAGCAAGGATCCCTGAATACTAGATTCAGACCTACCAGTAATCTCCAAGCCTCCTTTCTTGATCCCTTCACCCAAAACGTATTTCCTGAGCATTCAGAGTGCCAGGCCTTACTCTAGGTGCTGGATACAGAGGTGAATGAGCAGACAAGGGCCCTGCAGTCACAGGGTTTATTATTTTAATGAGAGGAGAGAGGACAAAGGATAAGTAAATTGAGATAATTCCAGAGAGTGGTGAAGCGCTATAACACAAAACAGATCACTCTAGGCATTCTAAGGATGTGACAGTTGAGCTGAGATCTGAAGGATCAGAAGGAGCTAAACTTGTGACACTACCAAGGAAGAGCAGTCCAGGCAGGCGGAACAGCAAGTGCAAAGGCCCTGGGATTGGAACAACTGTGATGCAGCCAAGGAACAGAGAGGAGGCCAGAGTGACTGGTGCAGTAAGGTCAGAGGACAGCGGAGGGAGTAGACCAGGTGGTGCAGGATAACATTCAGCAAAGAGTCGGACTTTATTATGGGTGCACAGAGCCCCTGGAGCGGGTGGTTCATTCAAGGTGCTGCCGCCACCTAGCTCTTTCAGGACTTCGTAGAAATGCCCGGCAGAAGGCACTCCATCCAGCACCTCTCCTTGCTTCAGTGGTTCTCAACTTCAGCTGCACGCTGAAATGGCTTGGGAGCTAAAAAAAATACCCGGATGCCCAGGCCCCTGCCCTGCAGTTGCCGATTTAACTGGTCTGGATGAGGCTGGGGCTGGGATTGTTCAGAGCTCCCCTGGAGATGGTTAGGAACCTCTGCTCTACTCACAAGCATCTCCTGTGCACATGGCAACTAGCCTCACCTTGGGCTTCTAGGATAGGCCATGGCCGCGTCCCTGAGGAGTGCTCTTTCCCGAGTTGGCCTCACTGAGGCCTAAGGGAGGTGGGTGGGGTAGGATGGGGAGCAGGATATGGTATAGTTCATTGGCTCAGGAAGCCACAGAATTGAGCTCTAAGCCCAGTTACGCCTTTGGTTTGCTGTCACCTCTCTGAGTTGGACTGTCCTCATCTGTGGGAGGGAGACCAATGGCCTTTCCTATGGGTAGAGTGGCTGAGAAGACCTACAGAAGCCAGCGGCAAAAGCACTTCAAAAGCTAAAAAGAACTGGTGCAGCCACTATGGAAAACAATATGGAGGTCGTCCCCCATTAAACATAGAACTACCATATCATCCAGCAATCCCACTTTTGGGTATTTACCCCCCCACCGCCCAAAAAGGGAAAACAACAACCCACAAAAACATTACCTTGAAGAGATATTTTCACCCCATGTTCATTGCAGCATCATTCATAATAGTCAAGACATGGAGACCAAGAGTCCATTGAGTCCACTGACTGATGAGTGGAGGAAGATGATGCAGTATATATGCATGTCACTAAGAATACTGGCAGGCTTTCCTGTTCTCCAAAATGTTCTCTGAAGTGGCCTGCATCCAGAAGGCTGTGAAAGGTGTCCCTAGAGCAGGCCAGAAGCAGTTTCGGATGATTTGACTTTCATCAGAGCATCAACATCTCCTCAACTTCTGTGGACTAATAGTTTTTTCAATCTCTTATCAAAAAATTCTCCTTTTCTGGCCACTGAGGTGGGTCGCGTCACTCGCTGACCTGTAGCCAGTAAGGAAGACCGCTGGCAATATTCTTCCCCTAACACATCTGGCGTCCACCTGGTCAAACACAGCTTGGGTCCCCCTTATGGTCCCCGGGGATGGCCCTGCCCGTCAACTCTCACACACAGAACCTGTGCATAATGACTCTGAGTTTGGGAGAGAATTAATTTCAGTTTCAAGCAGAGCCCAGGTGGGCCAGGCCTTTAATAAGATGGAGCTACACGTCAGAGATCAGGGCTGCTGGACAATGTGTATTTTGGAATCATATTAAGAGACTGTGGCGAATTCCAAACAGGGGTGGTCTCTGGTGAGAAAGAATCCCATGAAGTCTGGGTCTGGACTGGGGGAGGAGGTGTGAAGGCCGTGCCAACAGGAGGCATCCTGCAGCCCGCAAGGCTCAAGATCCTGCATGACCTGAAGCTCTTTCCCAAGAGCATCTGTTGCAGAGTTGTGCATATTTAATTTCTGTCTGGTAATCGCTGAGGAGATGGACAAGGGGAGGCTTGGCCTGAGCCTTTGGGAATTTCTACGAAGTGTTTGTGGCCTTGTTTGCTTGTGTATTAACTGCTTCTCCACTGTGGAATGTAAGTTCCATGAAAGCAGGAACTCTCTCGTTCATCCCAATGCCTAACACAGGGCCTGGCACACAGCAGCTGCTTGATAAACACGCGTGCACTGACATAGGAGAATGCCTCTTATTCCGTACAGCAGTTTTTCCAACACCTTTCTATCTCTGATCTCATTTGGAGCCTCTCCCCTGCCTTCTGGCATTCCCTGAATCAGGTAGGAAAACAAAATATGCACACTCCAGGGCCCTTTCCCACACCTCCCAGCGGGTGTGGCGTACACTATGGGATTCTGGCTCATTCCCCAGCATCCAGGGCCCTCCCTGGGGGTGTGACTCAGCAGGGTCGGGACTTTGCATTTTTTAAGACAAATACCTCCAGATGATTCTCACAGTGGCAGGCTGGGCAAACACTGCCCCTGGCTACCAGAAAGCACAGAATCAAGGCCAGGCTGCATATTTCAGACACGAAGGCAGAAAAGTCAGGCCTCCAATGCCTGTTGAGCCCAGTGGAGAAGGAGAGGAAGCTGCCCACCCAGCAGCTGTCTCCATGGTTCCCACTTGGACCAAAATGGAGACAGGTCCATTGACCATCATCTCTCACATTAGTGTCCCTCCTCATCGCAGATACTAGCTATCTGCCTCCCTAGCAACCAGGCTCCCTTTCACTGGGATCCCCCACATGCCTTCTCCAGGGCTTTGGGGTCCAGTGCTTCCACCTCCAGCTCCAGAGTAGGGCTTTGGCAGCCTGGCCCAAGCCCATTGTTGGGGCGGGGGGGGGGAGCTCATTTTCTTGGCCAGTGATTGGTTTGCAGTGAGCACATAACATAAGACAGTCCAATCAGAGGGCAGCTCAGGGCTTGAGTGGGCAGTACCTGAAAAGAAGCTTGTTCTTTCTTGTTGGGCTTAAACCAGAGAGGACGGCTCTTCAACAGCCAGCTCCACACCTCAATTATTGTAACCAACGTTTACTGAGGGCTTGCCTTTGTCAGTGCAGTGCTAAGCACTTGACACTGATGATCTCATTTCATCCTTTACCACGAACCAGGAGACAGGTGCTATGCTCATCATCATTTGCTGATGGGAACACTGGGGCCCAGAAAGGTTAAGTAACACTCTCTGGATCCCACTGCTGGGCAGGTAGCCAGGCTGTGTGGTTCTCCTCACCACGGTGCCGGAGCCTGCCCACCGCTTGCAGCTGGAGAGAGAAACCAGCCCCTGGAAGGAAGAGCAGAGATGGAGGGACAGACTCTCATGACAATCTCTGAGACCTGACTCCAGCTGCGCCTGAAGCTGTACCTTAGCAGTTTTTAGTTATGAAAGCCAACAATTCCCCTTCTTTTTCCTTATGCTCGTTCAGACACCCCCCCCCCCCCCTTTCTGTTGCTTACAAGAGAAAGGATCCTGATTCCTTTATAGTCTTTCTAGGAAAATGCCCCTAACTATAGTCCATTTGCAACCTGCACACAGCAGCTGCTCAGGAAAGACCAGCAGATGTGGATGAAGACTACTCTCCCTTCCCATGAACCGCTGGGTCTAAACCCTACTGCCCAACTGTGGCCAGCCCAAGCAAGGCCTCTTCCGCTTTTGGCTCCAAGTGAGGCCTAGTTCCCTAGCAACCACCCCAATTAGGCCATCATGCCATTTATCAGGATGCCAATTAATTATAATGATCTTAATGATCTTCCAATTAGATAGCGCCTTGAATCCGGATCAGGGGCATGGCAGATTTCCCACCAGGCCCCATCACAAGGGGGATCACGGAAGGCAGTCCCCGGTGAGGCCTCCCTCGCCTACAGGTCAGCATGGGCACATGGGCCAGACCTGCCACACTTTGGACCACCCCACCCCGAAAGGGGCAGGCTCATGTGACTCCATCGCCCACCACAAGAGGGCTGAACCTCTAAAAGAATTTTAACCCTGCTGCCATTGTTTTCAGGAGTCACGATCCTTTACCTCTGACCTCATGGCTTTTTTTCTGACAGCCACATTTGAAATTTTCCTTTGCATCTTGACTAGGGGGAGTGTGTGTGTACTCGCCAGACAAGCCCATCTTTTCCTCAGCCCTCCCCCCACTTCAAACAAAATGCGAACTCGAGATGTCCCCAAACTGTGGAGGTTTGGGAGAGAAGTGGGATCACTAAAGGGCTTGTGCCTTTCAGAGTTCTATTGTCTAAATGTGTTTTCTCCTCCTGCATGTGTTTCTTCTACATTTGGGAACAAGGCCAAGGTCATGCAGGAGGAGAGAGTGGTGGGTCAGAGTGAACTCCGGAGGCCCTGGGGCCTCTTGAATTCCAGCTTTACCAACGAGCAGCTGTCTTTGAGCCACGATCCCCTCTGGGCCTCCATTTCCTCATTTTTGACAACAATCAAAGGCCCTCTTAGGGTTTTGTGGGGGCTAAATACGTTTTTATGTATAAGGCCTAGAACACACCACATCGGTGTTATCTATCACCTTAAGTCCACACTAAGTCCTTTCTTTTAACTACAAGCTGGTCAGACATGCTGGTGATCTTCTGCAGGACCAGGCTTCTGGTCTCTAAAGGGGGCGAAATCTAAGAACAGACTTGATGGAGTTGGGTGACATTCCCAGTCTGGCTAAGTCAGACCAGAAGCTGCCCCCTTGAGGCAGGTCCAAACAGATAAATTGAACATATCCAGAGAAAGGAAGGGGGAAATGCTATCCCCAAATCAAAAGGTGCACTTCAAGCGTTAGGGTGTGCAACCACACATGAGTTAGGCCCTCGGGATGGCAGCTGAATGGAGCTGTTGAGTGTATGTGTGTGTGTGTGTGGGGGGGGGCACACATGCATGTGTGTATGTGACTGTGCACACACTCACAGAGTCTCACACACAGCCACACCGTCTCCCTCCAAACCCAGCATTTTTATAATCAACTCATCGTTAAACCCTTAAGTTTGAAAACCTAACATGTTATTAGGGTTTTAGAAGTTCAAATTAAGCCATAAGTTCAAACTAAAAACCCCCAATAAATACACACCAAGCCCAAAGCCCAAACCCACACTGACCCTCAGCTATTCAGTTAGACTAACATCATGCATTTATGTATATAAATTTGGCCCAGGCCCCGAGTGGGGTGGGGGATTGAGCTTGCAACCCAAGTAGGTGCTCTGGACTGGAAATGATCCCAGGACCCTTCAGTCCACAAGCCGACGCTCTATCCACTGAGCCAAACTGGCTAGAGCTGGACAGGTTGTTTTGATGAGCTTTTCCTCCTCCATGATGTGGGATAAGCAAAGCTGGAAAACCTCTCTTACACGATGAGTGGTCTTCGGCCTGCTCTCCCCAGCCCCTTTCTATCTGTAATGAATGACTTTAATTTAATTAAAACCCTCCGATGGCTCCATAATGGGGAGCGGAGATGCAGTAAGAAATCTCTTCACTATTAACTACCAGATGAGAGTAAGTCTTCCTGCTCCAGGGAAAGACCATCCTACGCTTCTCCGTCCCCCAGAGAACCTGCTCAAGAGCAGCCTCCCTTCTCTGCCCCGAAGGAGGGGGACCCCACTGTGGGGAGAGGCAGAGACAGATGGAGGGGCAAGAGAACGGGTGTCCTGACATGCACAGATGTGCAAATACCCAGATTCAAATGTAAGCTGAATGCAATTCCTTGGTTAATTAAATATTGACTTTTAACTCAAAAAGTGATTAAAACAAGCTGCAGGAACGACTGGCCAGAGAGGAGAAGGGGCAGAGAATGAGTCAGAACTTTCACAAAGGGGGAAGAGGAGGATGAGGCTTGTCAGAATGCCGGCCTGTACTGTCCTACTGTGTGCAGGCACTTACTGTGTGTGTGCAGGGGTGAGTGGCCTTTGGATCTCCAGGTAGATGGTAATTTCAGAAGGATGTCATGTGACAAACTAAGATTTGTGGGTGTCTCCTTACTTTTTTCCACCTAAGTCTCATCTTTTTTTCCAGGCTGCCCTCAAAATGGCCAGAGCTTCTGCTGCTCTGTTCATCTTGTTTCCTTGGAACATAACTCGGGGCCTGGTACCACGAGGTGCACCCGTTAATGCTTGTAGAACAGAACGAATGAATGAATCACTACAAAGAATGTTTGTTTTTTAAAGTGCTGTCCTAAAAATCGCAGCCAAACTTCTGAAACCCCCGGGAGGGGAGCAACCCTGTATAAGGCTTTGAGAACTGGTTCTGACCCAGCCTGGGAGGAACTTTGCCCTTTCGGTATTGTGAGTTCCCAGTCACTGCCCGGCTCCGGTCCCCCGCTTTCCCGAGTCCTGCCCGGACAAGCCCCACGTGGTCTTAGCTTCTTGCCAGTCTATTGGGTCTAAACTCCAAGGGGTCAAGGAGGCCAGCCCCCCAGCGGCCGGCGGGCTCGGGCTCGCTTTCCCCGTGGCCTCCAGGGCTCCGAGTGGCGCGTCCGCAGGTCAGGGGCGCGGTGGGAGGTGCCCAGCCCGCCCGCGAGGTCAAACGGGTCACCCCCCCGCGGCCCGCTGGCGCCGGAGCCTCTCTCCCGCCCACCCGGTCCCACCTCCGCGCGCAACGCTGGGGCCGGAGCCGGGCGGTCGGGGCCGGCCCCCGCTCACCTGGGCGGCGCTCGCGGCCACGCTCACCCGGGGCGGGCTCCGGCCGCGGGGAGCCCCCGTCCCGCCCATCCGGCCCCGGCACCCCACTCACCAGGACGCACGGCCTCGGCGGCCTCACCCGGCGCGGGGCGCCGCCACCTCTGCCGCAGCCCGCCCCGGCTGCGGGACGCAGGGGACTCCACGCCGCTGCTGCTGCCGCCGCCGCCGCTGCTGCATCCTCAGCTAGTGCGGCTGCTGCTCCTCCTCCCTCCCCGCTCTCCGCCTCCTCCCGTCCCTCCGCTTCGCCGCTCCGTCGCCGCCCCCGCCCCGGCGCGCCGCCCTCGCCAAAGTCCGGGTCCGCGCCCCGCCCCGCCCCGCCCCGCCCGGGCCAGGCTTACACCTCCCCAGCCGGCCGGCCGCGCGGCCCGAGCCAGCCCCTGGGCACGGCCCCCGCCGCCGGGCAGCCTGCGCGCCTGGGGAGGCGAGCGCGCGCGGGGCGGGGAGCGCCGGACCGGGAGCCGCGGGCGGCGGGAGCTGGGGAACCGGGACCCCGCTCCCGGCGCGGGAGCCCTTTACCTCTGGCAGGAGGGACGCGCGTCCCGGCCAGTCCGGCCCTGCTGCCCGCGGTGCACGGCCCCGGTCCCGAAGTCTGGCCCCGGACGGGGCAGCGGCGGAGAGCTGAGGTCCGGGCAGCTCCCGGCCTCCCGAAGTCGCGGGACCCGGCTGGCCGCGCTCCCGGCCTGGAGCGCGCACCCTCGCCGGGACACGGACGCACACTCACCCGACACACGCTCCCGCTCGCTTTCCGCGGGAGTTGAAACAGCTGTGAGATTCGCCCCGGAGCTGAAATGAGGGGGGACGCGAGCCAGAGCCGTGCGTGCGAGTGTGTGTGTGTGTGTGCAACCCACAAGCGAGGACGGGGGTCTTCGCTAATAAATCAATGATCGCAATCAGGTCAGGAGGGCCATCGGTCAGGTCCACTTCGCCGCATACGAAGAGTCCTTGTCTCCTTTCCTTCTCCTGAGCTGGAGGGAGCCAAATGTCCCGCGGGGCTCCCCCCGTAATGACACTTTAATAAATGTTTTCTTTTATCTGCTTCCACGAGGGCTCGCCTGGGTTTGAAAACACCCACCGCCTTTGCTGAAAGCCCCGAGCTCCCCTCTGACTACATACTTTTGCCTTTGGAGACGCGGCCTCGAGCCGGGCCTGCAGCTAGAGCGCAGGGTGAATGGCCCACGCGCCCGGGACCTTCCCACGCGCCCGGGAAGCTCCCCGAGACATTAACTTGAGCTCAAGTGAAAATAGCTGCGTTGCCCAGAAATGGTCCCGGAATAGGAAAGAATGGAGAAACGGGTTTCCTCCGAAAGGGGAGGAATTAGACTCAAGGTGGTGCTGTCTACCGCGGGTTCCACTGTCTCCAGAACACAGGAGGCCAGAGGACCGGGCTGACCCGCGGGCAAAGAGCCGGAGGAGAACCAATTAGCAGCTGCAGAAAACACAGCTGAGCAGCTCAGGGGACACAGACCCTGTGCTATGTGTGCTGGTAGGCAGTAGTAACTTACTTAAATCTAATAATAACCCGACAAGGTAAATTGCAGAATTACACCCATGTTACAGACGTGAAGACCAAGTCACAGAGAGATTAAGTGGCTGACTCAACTCACACAATTGTAAATGGCAGACCTAGGATTTGAACCCAAGACACTTATCTCCAGAGTTATGTTCTTAAATCCCAGGTTATTGCTACTTTTCCAGCCCAGCAACTCTGTTCTCTGGCGTAGTCTCTTTTTTTGTTGGTTATGGTTGTCCTGCTTGGGAAGTAAGAATGGACAGTGATCTATGAGGATATACTTATATAAAAGATACTTGGTTATTTATCTGGAATTCAGATTGGGTGTCCAGACCTGGTGGGGGCTCTACATTCCCCCAGCTTAATCTCCCTTAGCCACCCTGATCAATTTACAGTCTAAATAAGTCAGAAAAACCTGGAATTTGCTTTTCCAAACCTGGTGCTCACTTTTGGCGCCTCTGAGGTTGCTGATCTACCTTTCTGGAACAAAATGTCAGGCTTCCATCTTCACCATCACCGACCAAGAACGAATAGGGACCCCTCCCCTCTGGCCTCACCTCTGTGGAAGGAAGGACACATTTGCTGTAATGCCTCAGTACAGTGCTGTTCGGTAGAAGGTTAAGACAGGCCATGCATGTAATAGAACATGTCCTAGAAGCGGCTTTCAAAAGTAAAAAGAAGCAGGTGAAATTAATGTTAATCATGTAGTTCATTTAACCTAGTATATCCAAAATACCTTGTCAACATGCAATCAATATATAAAAATTATTAGTGAGATATTCTTTTTACGACATATTTGGAATCTGGTGTGTATTTTACACTTAAAACACCTCTCAATTTGGACCAGCCACACAGTACTACATGTTTCCATCAGGGCAGCTCTAGCAGGCTCTGGGGTCCACTGCTGAGTGTTTCTATGAGGTTATCTTATGTAATCCTATTAAGAGTCATTCTTTCACAAAAACTGAGAAAGTAAAGGGACTGATCAAAGACACAAAGTGGGATTTGAACTTGTGTAAGGCTGTGCCTGGCTTTGGATCATGTACCCCCTGTGGCCTCAATTTTCGAACTGGGTCCTCAAAGCCCCATGGGAGTGTCTCAGGGGTCTGGGGGATAGGAGGTTAGGTGAGATCTGACTTTTGCTTGCTTTCTATGTTGGGTTCTGGAGAATATTTCAGAGGAGGTGGGATTTGCACCACAAAAAAGTTTAAAAACGCACCACCTTGCCCTAGCTGGTTTAGCTCAGTGGATAGTGTTGGCCTGTGGACTGAAGAGTCCAGGTTGTATTCCGGTCAAGGGCACATGCCTGGGTTGTGGGCTCGATCCCCAGTAGGGGGCATGCAGGAGGCAGCCAATCAATGATTCTCTCTCATCATTGACGTTTCTATCTCTCCCTCTCCCTTCCTCTCTGAAATCAATAAAAATATATTAAGAAACAAAACAAAACACACTGCTTTCCAGCAGGCCTCAAGTTTATGAACATGGCTCTCCCTTCCCTAAATGGGCCCTGCCTACAATTTTCCCTCCATTCTTCTCTCCTCATCAGGGCACCCCAGTAAAGGAGGGGCTGCTCACAGTCCCCGACGTGGGGCTGTAGGTGGGGTTGAGATGATGTCATCTGATTATCTTTTTGGATATTTATTCTTTCTATTGCTGCTGTGCAAAGATCAAACATGGCGATGTCTGTGTTTTGCTCCTTATCCTTTGTTAGGGGGAGTGACAGGTCTTGGTGTGAGTGTTTCTTTGTGTGTGTACCCATGTGCATGTGTGAGCACATGTGTGTGCTCACTGTGGACAGGGGCTGTGGATTGGGTTTCAGGTGAAGGCTTAACTCACCAGCTCAGACACTCATTGGGTTGGAGGGTCTGCAAAGCACTCTCTGGCCACATTTCTTTCTCATAAATCACAGCAAACTCCATGGTCCTCTGGGTCCCAGCCCCGGGCCTACGTTTTCCAGGTAGGTGGAGCCTTCTGGCCCCATTTGGGAGCTCAGTGACTGCCAGGGAGATGAGAGGGCCCTCAGGGGCTCAGATGTCCCCCAGCCTGGGACCTCACTCAGCTATGGGTGGGGCCTCAGCAGAATTCTCATGACCTTCCTGGCCTCCTAATTCTCCAGCCCCTGTCCATCTCCAACCACATCACCTGGGACAACCTTTCTCCTCTGTTGTCACCCTGTTGGCATCTCTCACCGGGATCATCTTGCCCAGATCTTTCTGGCTCCTCATGCCACTCCCAACTCCTCACCCCTTTGCTGGATTAACCTTGAGGGGACCTTTCTCTTGACACCTACGCACCTTGTTTCCTCCTTCTGCAAGTTCCTTGGCCCTCTGTGCAGAACACCGCCTGGTTCTTTCTACCTTGCAAAGCCAGAATGCTGTTCTATTTCCTGAACTCCTATGCAACAACTAAACAAACACAAAGTCATTCCTGCTTTGTGTTTCTTTCTCTCCACCAAGAGGCTGAAGCTCAACCTGACTGTCCCAGCACTTCTGGCTGCATGAGGGTGTGATGTTATGAGGGTTGTAAGAATTAAGCTTTTAACATCTAAAAAAAATTGTCCAAGAAATGGTAAAGCAAAAACATGGCTGCAGACAGGAGGCTTGGGAATGCGAGCCACAGAACTGGGGCACAGGTGGCTTTAATAACCCACACGAGTTTGGCTGTAACTTGCTTCTTTCTACAAACTCAGAAGAGGCTGCAGAGTCACCCCTAGAGGTATGGGGTCAAACTTCTCCGTTCCTGAGTGGGGACAGTTTTGCACGGATTTTAAAATACAAATCTCAGAATCATCCATAACATTATACATTTGCGGTTAATTCTGCTGAGTTTTCACTTAGGCCCAGCTGTCTTGTTGGTAGAAATACAGTTGCATTAGGGAAAAACTGTTTATATTTCTTGAGATATTGTGATAATGAAAAATAGCACCATAAACCCCCATTAAGTCAAAAGAACATTAATTGTGCTTCCTGCTGCCTCCCCTGGCCTGCACGCTGACACTGACAGGCTTTACTTCAGCAAAACAGGGCGGCTTGTCTTTGCAGCACAGTACCTGTTTCCCCCCTTAATTACACGTAATTGTGGAGTCTAATTTATTTTAACGCCCGACGCCTAAAAGTGCACATTCATGAATCAAGGCTTAGATTGGGACGTAGGATAATTAAACACGGGTATAATTGCAGTCTCCTGGGGGCTGCTTAGGAGTAATCTCTAAGAGTCATGATATTTATTCTGAATTCTTACAAATGAAAGACAGTCGGGCTGCCTACAGTTACGAAAACAGAGAACAGTGACAATTTGTCTAGTTGCTTAACCATTCACCAATAGTGCTCTTTTGGATAAGTGGGCAAGAAATATTAAACACACGGATTTCACATGTGATGAAACACACAAGCAGAATGAGTGCCCGTGCCATTGAGTATTACAATGAGAAAGGCAGCCCCGGCAGCAAGCTGTTGTTCTCTATGGACAAAGCAGAACTCCTGGCTCCTTCGTGGAAAAGCAGGGACCATTTGACCATATATGCAATTCAGTTTCGTCTCTCTCTTTCTGTGACAACACACCTATTTTACCACTAGAGGCCCAGTGCACGAAATTCATGCACAGGGTGGGTGATCCCTCAGCCCGGCCTGCACCCTCTCACAACTGGGGACCTTTCAGACATCCCTCTCATAATCCAGGACTGCTGGCTCCTATCCGCTTGTCTGCCTACCTGC